TAGATAGCATCACTGAAGCAATGAGCATGAAACTGAGCAAACTCAGGGAGGCAGTGAAGGACAGGAAGGCCTGGCGCAATATGGTTCATGGGGTCACGAAGAGTCGGACACGACTTAACGACTAAACAACAATATTGTATAGATGGTAGCACAAAATTGGGAGACTTGGGAAGATATTTTTGAGTCTTTGTCTGAAAGAAGTAACATTAAATAGAAATCACACTACCTACCCAGAAATTTCTTCAAGATCGGATGAATGAAGGTCTGTCTAGAGTTCTTATATAGGGAGCAACATAGTAGCATGTGGCTTAGAGTTTCTACTGAGCCATCACAATATGGACATAGCCAAAGATACAAAGAAGTACCCTTAAAATGTCCAAAAAGGACTACTAAGGGCAATGCATCCACCCTGGCTAAAGTGAAGGCATTACGAAATTTCAGAATCGTAATGGATGATAAATAAGAGGCTGGCACCACCCCTTTTGGAAGAATATGGTAAATACTGGAGTGTGACACCTTGCTTAAATTCGTTGAGATCTATATCCCAAATTTATTGTTTGAGGGTAGTTCTAGCATTATCAAAACCTAGTGAGCACAAACTTTCCACAGAGAAGCCCAGTAAATGAATTTTATCCAGGGCTTTTTTAAGCCATGACGATTTAAAATGATTTCTATGTACTAATGGGTTCAAACCTATAGGAAGTAGGATTAACTTTAGCCAAAAGTTAATAAGAACTACGCTCTAGTGTCCAACAAGACTATGCCTGTCTCTACATGTAAGATGGCATTTTGAATACTTTTTGGAACCATCAGTATGTCTCAAATAAATTTATTTTGAATAGTTAAAAGAATGTTAAGCTTTGCAAAACAGCAAATCTGGGAGCCATAAAGAAAACCCTGCAAGCTGCATGGATATAATGGGCTAATTTTTAGTTAAAATAAGTATACTAGGCTATAGTAGATTTATTAGATTTTTACTAGACTTGTTAGACTTTTTAAAAATTTAATCATAACTTTTTCAAGCAAGATGAATGTAGAAGCAAAAGATGCAAGCAAAAGATTCTGAGTGGATTGAACAGTATGGGAAAAAGAAAGAAATGATATGGCATCAATTTTTTAAAAAAATCTAAACATAAATCAAGTAGATTAAATGTTATATCAAATTAAACTGCAGTGGAGATGATTAAAATAATTTTAAAATTATATTACTGAGAGAAGATATATGTTAACAATTGAAACAAGCATTGGGCTATATGATTAAGACTATAAACTCAAGATAAGTTACCTTGTGTGCCAACAATCTCCATGTGAAGATGTGCAAGTCCACTGGCAGTTGACAATGCTAGTTTTATCATTCCCTCTACAGCAACAGTATACCTGTTCAGATAATCAAAAAGAGAGCCATGTTCATGATAATCTGACACTAGCCAGAGTTGTGTCCATGTACCATTATCTGCAAATCAAAACAAAAAAGGGACAATTAAAATTAAAAGAACAACAAACACATCGGAAAATGCACACATTTTTATCCCATGAAGAATATTACTGTATTCCCATGAAGAAGCATTACTGTAAATGCTTAAAGAAAAGCATTTCTACTTGTATCAAAAATAGTGACTGCAAACTTGCACACATCAGCTGTTTAAATCCTAATGAAGTCATGGAGATTTAAATAACCCATGTTCACAGCACTACAAAGAATGATGTCATGAATACCATGATTTAAAAAAAACCAAGATTTAAAATACCATGATTTAAAAAAAACCAAGATGAAGAAAACGTCTAAAATCCAGATAAAGATATTTGTTAAGTCACTGCAACTATAAGCCATTGTACAACCACAATTTCTCATTGCAAGCAATTGATTTTAATTCTGTTTGGATATCAATCTATAAAATTACCCTCACTTGAAGGGTAAAGTTTTCTTGAAATTGAGGTTGACTCCTGGTAACTTAATGGACACCTCCATTAGCAACAACCTGGAAGTAGCTTGCTACTGCCTTCCAGGATGTTTTCTTACTTCCTAGTCTAGTTTATGCTCCTAATATCTCCTGGTGGTCCTTCATTCAAGTACTTAGGTTGGCAAGTACTGTTATTTAGTTGACCTTGGAAGTAAATTAATGAAATTTAGTCCAGGTAAGGGTTCAATGTTTCCCAGTCTTGGCAAGCTTCAGATGAGTATGGGTTTTAACTCTTAAAATTCTCTGCAATAGCCATGCTTGCTGAGGAATTCTGGGTATTGAATTTGACACATAAGGAGAACACCCAATTTGGCAGAATAAGAGATACTTAATATAAGCATTTAATCAGAGTTTCAAACATGAACATAAATCCATTACAATTTTGTTTCCTAATAATAAAACGATATTTAAAAAAAAATTAGAGTTTCTTTCAAACAGTTTTTTTTCTTAAAATAGAGCAGGGTTAGGCATTATGTCATTAATATTTCTCATTAGAGGTATGTAATAACAAGTTATATGATAAGAAAAAGAGTCTAGAAATGTTTTTCTAAATGTCACAACCTTTGTTGTCTGCAGCTATAAACCCAAGAATATTTTCATGACGTAGCATAACTGTTTGATAGATTTCAGCTTCACGAAACCATGAGCGTTCTTCTCTTGAAGAGAATATTTTTACTGCAACTTCTTCTCCTCTCCACTTTCCTCGCCAGACTTCTCCAAATCGACCTTTTCCAATGCTTTCTTGTAGTACAATTGTTCTTGCAATTGTTCTTTGAACAAGTAATGGCAAACCTTAAAAACAAGTGATAAAGAGCCAATTAATTAATCCAGGCCTTGTTTGATCTACGAGATTTTCCTCCTATCAAAAGACTGTTGAAGCCTCTAGCTATTACTAATTCTAGTCAGCCATGCTTGGTCTTTGATCATAAATAAAGGAGACTCCAATCTAATCGAATCTAGGCTTTTACCGCTGTGTTAGATCTGTCATAATGTTTAGTCTGAGACCAATTCTGCTTTGTTAAAATAAGTCAATTTCAAATCTTAGTTTATGAAATTGATTTATTTCCAGTAACAATAGTTAATACTTCTGGGCAATTCTCTGTCTGCATTAATCATCCAGTCCTATCCCTGTGCACTTGCTATGAACACACAAAAGTGTGTTAACAATTTTTTATTCACTGTAACTTCCTACTCCCTGTATCCAGGGAGGCTTTATCTCTAAGGAGTCTATCATATTTCCACTAACAATTAAATGTGGAATCTAAATCAATTCAGTGGGACTCAAAATCTGTTTAAAGCTGAAATAGTTTTCCAATTGGGGTCTAACCATATCTGGTTTGTACATACCCGCTTGCCCTTTGAGATAGACCAGGCAAGGAAACAGACTTCACAAGTCTGACTGGAACTATACTTTATTGATATTGGCTATAGTAACAGAACCTTGAACATCTGATTGAGTTTTTCACTCCTTCCCTCTTATACTCTACAGGTAGTCCCCAGGTTACAATGCCAATTGGGACCAGGTTTGCCATCACTAAGCCATGTGGTTGTAAAATATGATGTCATGTGACTGTATCACTTAGTGATGGCAATCCTGGCAGTCCTGGTTGCTGTTGTAACCCCAGGACCATGCGGGTCATTAACTAGGAAGAGGTGGGAGTCCCAGGCAAGGAGTGCGGTGGTGGTGGGGTGCTGCATGCAGGCACTGTAGAGCACGAGCTGCGGGTGGGCCAGCAGAGGCCACAGGGGGGTGCTACGGATGCAGGCTGGCTGGTGGAGGCTGTGGGCAGGCCGATGGAGACCATGAGCAGGCGAGGTTGATGCTGCAGGCAGACATATGTGATGGAGTGCGGGTGGGTGGTGGGTGCTACAGAGTACAAGATCCCTCATACTCCATAGCAGGCTCCTTGGGGGAAAAAGCAGTGGGAGTGAGTTACTGGAGTGACTTGTGACCTTCCCTGCCAGCTTCCCTGTTGACTTTGCTTGTGGGAAGCTGGCAGGGAAGGTCATAAATGGCAATCATGTGACCACAGCTGTGACACTGTAATTGCGAGCCAGGCACCCGGATTGCAATCATGTGATTATGGGAACGCTGCAATGGCTGGAACTTCAAGGTCCAGTCGTAAGTCTATTTTTTCAGTGCTGTTGTAACTTTGAACAGTCGCTGAACAAATGGAGGTAAGCCGAGGACTACCTGTAGTAAATTAGTGAGGAGTCAGCCTTAGCTCCTTTCTCACATTTTTGCTGTCTTTTGGTATTATAACATGTTTTTGCAACCATGATCTCTGCCTCATTTCTCCAAGGTCACCTTGGAGTACCCAAAGTACATGACAGTCAGCACAGTATAGTAGTTAAAGTGTTGCGCTATCAGCATGAAGACCCAAGTTCTAATCTACCCTTAGCCATAGAATCTTGATGGGTGATGATGGGCTAATTGTTCCCTCTTGCCCCAGTTGGGGTTGTTTGTGGGGGAAAATAGGAGGAAGGAGCTCTACGTATGCTGCCAGGGATTCGATGGAAAACTGGAATGTGAATCTAATAAATTAATAAGTTCCTATACATGTTAACAGTACAGGTAGTCCTCACTTAGTGTCCACTCGTTCAGCGACTGTTTGAAGGTGCAACAGTACTGAATGAGTAGTAGTTACAACCGGTCCTTGAAATTCCGGCCGTCACACAACCCCTGTGGTCACATGATTGTGATTTGGGCGCTTGACAACCAGCTCACACGACAGCTGCAGTGCCCCGTGGACACGTGATCGCCATTTGTGAACTTCCCTGCAGGTTTCCCACAAATAAAGTCAATGGGGAAGCTGGCAGGGAAGGTTGCATGTCTCTCCCACTGGCAGCAGCCACCCCCAGGCCCAAAATGGCTTGCACCGCTGCAGCCACCCACATAACCTGCCCCACCAGTTAAGCAAAGACCCCCTGCATATTATAAATCTTAAGGATAAGGTATACTTAGGTTAAAGTTTTATCTACAACAGGGCATTGAATTTGGAAATACCATAAACGTTAAGCTTCAGGTAATCTTTATTTCTGATATGAAAATTAATCAAAATAGGGATTTCCTTTTCCATATGACAATGCTATTTATAAGATGCAGAGGTCTCATAACAGTAAGAAAATTTCATTTTGTTCAAACAAGTGAAACTACAGTTTAAACAGCAACAACAAAAAAAGCTTACAGCTAAAATGTCACAACTTCAATAAATTAAAAAGACTTTCCCCTCATAATATATAGCAAGTTACTATGTGTCTGTAGCACCATTAACAACATAATGTTTCAAAAATAATTTACTAGAATATGGGGAAAACTAATCTATTACCTGATCCTGATCCTGAAGTGGTCATATCATAAATTAAATCTTTCAAAGTAGTTCCCTCAGATATAAATGGTCGGTCCATTGAAGGATCTTCTTCATTTGGAACTCGATGGTGTATGACTGTACGATTATGGCAGATATAAAGAATCAACATGAGTGAAATGCAAAGAAAACAAACGGGCCCAGCAATGACAGCAGCCAATTCCACTGGTCCTAGAGTGGAAGAAAACTTCCCTGGTACAGGACCTAAGAATGCAAAAAAGGAACACAAAATAGAAAACAAACAACTCATTAGTTAAATATTATACTCAGGATTTGGTACTGTGTGAAATGAAACACAATAAAATTGTGCTTTATAGATATGTTTGACCACAGGGAATCCTCTCAGCTATCCATTTTCTGCTGGCAAAATAAAAGCTATTACCTGGTGTTGGAATTGGAAGATCTATTTTATTGCAGAAGTCTTTATCACAGCAATGAGGCACAGTAATTACTCCTTTACTTGTTGAAACAGCACAAACAAACGGCCTGTCTCTGGGAAACAGATCAATTTCTGCAATACACATACTATTGCGTATGATTTTGTTTCTATTCCGTGTTACTGAAGTAATGCAGAGCCCATCTGTTGTACATGTGAAGTTCTCTTTTGTACAGCGAAGACAAAAACACTGCAAGGCTGTTTAAAAGAAAAATGCTTAATATTAGTGATATTTTAAACAGTTAGAATTATGACATTAAAGTGTCCCAGAAAGCCACTACACTCAAATTTGCTTCGTGAATAGCTCTGTATTTTACTGACAGCCTTTAACTCAGGGACAAAACGTTTTTTCAGGGACAAGTTTTCACATGAAAATTCCCTCTAACAGAGTTCTGGTCAGCTGACAGTTAATAGAAAAAAATAGCATTCCACACATACATATACTTTTTTTTAGTTTTTTAGTTTACTTTTTTTATTATCATTCAAAGAATGGTGAACTGGATTCTATAGATTTGGGGGGATATAATTTTTATTAAAGAATATTCAAAAAGAATAAAAACAATACAAATTTTATTCTTTTAAAAAGAATAAAAAGTAAGAAAAGTAATAAGTAGGTGATAGAAGTACAAAGAAAGAAATAGAGAAGAGAAAAGAAGAAAAGAAAAAGTTATAAAGAAGCTTCTGGTCTTCTTAACAGCAGTAACAAGTACATTTATGTTTTATCCTCTCCAAGGTTACAAAATAATCTCTTTCCGTAGTCTACCCTTTCTAATCATCAAACCCATATATCACAAGCTCATTTTTTTCTTTTTTCAGCAAAAAGTCCATAAGGAGATCCCAATCTTCCTCATTCCTTTGCATCTTGGACAATTTTATATTTAACCCTTGGCTTTTCCCCTTGCCATACAAATCTAGATATCTTTCTGTCATTGCTTAAATGGTACATCGGTTGTCAAAATAGGTATTGTTTGAAACAAAAATATCATTCTAGGCAAAACATTCATTTTTATCACAGAAATTCTCCCCAATAATGACAATTATAATTTATCCCATCTTAACAAATCTTTTAACTTCATTCCATGTCTTAACAAAATTGTTTTGAAATAACATAAAATTCACATTTGTCATGGTGATACCCAGATATTTTACTTTTTTCTCAATCTTAAAACCCTTTTTCTTCATCAATTCTGTTCGATCCTCTATTTTCATATTTTTGTTAACAACTTCATCTTTTGATTATTAATCTTAAAACCTCCTAGTGTACTTTTAATTTTCCCATTAATGTTTCTATTCCCTTTAGTGGATCTTCCAGAATCAACACCAAGTCATCAGCAAATGCCCTTAATTTTTAATCTTTACCCTCATAATTCTCTCATCTTGTCTTATATCTCTATTCAATATTTCAAGAATTAAAATAAACAGGAGAAGAGACAATGGGCATCCCTGTCTTGTCCCTTTTTTTATCTCACAAGGTTTTGTTAGATCTCCATTGACAATTATTTGTGCTTTCTTGTCAAATGCCTTCTCTGCATCTAAGAAAATCAATGCAGCTTGTTTTTCATTATGTTGCTCCAAGTATGTCCAACACATTTCTTATATTATCCTTTAACTGTCTTTTAAGCCATAACCCACATTGATCCTCATGAATAATTCTTGCAAAATTATTTTCAACCTCTCAGCCAAAATCATTGCAAACAACTTATAGTCATTATTCAATAACGAAGTCAAATCTTGTCCCTCCTTAGGCATTAATGCTATAGCAGCCTCTTTCCAGTTCTCTGGCATCCTTCCCCTGTGTAAAATAGAATTCTTATTTTGTAAAGGTTGTAAAAGTTCATCCTCAAAGCACTTATAGTAAGAAGCTGGGAACCCATCTGGTCCAAGCACCTTTCCTGCTTTAGTTCTTTTTATTTATACACACACACACATACACATATATAGCTTTGCAAACTTCCCTTATGTTATGGGTCCATTCATAATCTGTTTCTGTTTCACTTTAATCTTTGATAAATTTTGTTTCTTTAAATACTCATCTATTTTCTCCAGGGAAATGTCTTGTCCTTAATATAAACTGGAATAATATTGATGAAACACTTTTTGCATAACCACATTATCTGTTATTAGAGTATCTCTCTCTTGTAATTTCAATATCATTTTCTTTTCTTTTTGTAATTTGTATGCCAACCACTTCCTTGGTTTATTTGCAAACTCAAAATTTTTTTTTTGCATAATTTATTTCCATTTCTCTTAGCATTAACATTGTCACTGTAGCAGCTTAATTTGTTGAGAAATATTTATCTTCTCTGAAAACTTCTTTAATTCCTCTTCCTTTTTTCAATATATAATTTTTATTGAAGTTTTTTTTAAAAGGAAGATAAAAACTAATTCAAATTAATATAAAGTAAGAAAAAGAAAAGAAAAAGAAAAAAATCAAAGAGAAAGCTAAAAGTGCAAAAAAAGGAAAACAAAGTCAAATAAAAATAGAAAAGAAAGGAAAAAGATACAAAGAAGTAGCTTCCTATCTTTACAGCATTTGTAAGTACAATTATACAATTATAATTCTATAATTATAATTGTATTATACAATTGCACTGCAGAATGGAAGTTAAGCCACCCTGATCAATGCCTATGGCCCCACAATGATCAACCTGGACAGGTTCTATGAAGAACTAGATGCCCTACTATCAGCAGCGAGCACAACTGACAAGCTGATCTTGCTCAGCGACTTTAATGCAAGAGTAAGGTGCAATTCTGCAGCTGGCAGGGAGTCATTAGGAGACATGGGGTGGGCAACTGTAACAGTAATGGCCTACTCTTACTGAAGACCCCACCTGAGTCTTACTGAAGACTCCCTTTCTGAGTATCCATGGTTTTCTAATGGGATGGGCAGTGACAAATTTGATATATAAATAAATAAAGATCTGTGCAGCACACAACCTCCTCATCACCAATACAACTTCCCACTTGCCTACTTGTAACAAGACCTCCTGGATGCATTCTCGCCCTAAGCACTGGCATCTTATAGACTATATCATTGTCAGGAGAAAAGACAAGCAGGATATCAGAGTGACCAAGGCCATGCATGATGCTGACTGCTGGACAGACCACAGGCTCATTGTCTCCAAAATGAAGCTCCACATCAGACCCAAGAGGCAACTGCAAGGAAGCAAGACCATGAAAAGAATTAATATGGCCAGGCTGAAGAACCCCAGCATGGCTTCAGCACTGGCTGTAGACTTAGAAACTAAGCTTGCTGACCTACATCTTGCTCGCAGTGCTAAGGACAACTAGGAATACTTCAGGGATGTTGTCCATTCATCTGTGCTGAAGATGTTAGGGCCCTCTATTCACAAGCAGCATGACTGGTTTGATGAGAATGATGAGGAGATGCAGGCTTTATTTGTTGAAAAGCATCACCTTCATTTGTGTCCATCAAAACAACTTATCATCAGCTGCCAAAAAAAACACCTTTCCAGTGCTTGTAGAATAGTCTAGAATAAACTGCGTAAAATGCAAGATACATGGCTGAGTGCCAGGGCAGACGAAAAGAGTATACTGACAGAAACAACTTGAAACAGTCCTATAAAGCCCTTAACACTCTCTACGGACCTCAGTCTCTCAGGAGTTCTCCCCTCCTGAGTATAGATGAGATAACTCTCATTACAGAGAAAGCTCAGATCCTGCAGAGATAGGATGAACACTTTGAAGTCATCCTCAACCGACCATCACCTATTAACAATAAGGCGACAGACCGGATTCCCCAGGTTAACATCAAGAGTGCCATGGAAGACCCACCAGTAGTAGCTGAAGTCACAGAAACTGTCAGTCAGCTATCCAATGGCAAAGCCCCAGGGGCAGATGCCATACCTGCAGAGATATACAAAGTCAGTGGTCCTGTATTTATAAAGAAACTCACTGAGTTATTTCAGTCTTTTTGGAAACAAGGATCCATTCCTCAGGAATTTAAAGATTCATCCATCGTACACCTCTATAAGAGGAGGGGCAGAGTATGTGACAACCACCAAGGAATCTCGCTGCTCTCCATTGCAGGAAAAACCTTTGCACAAGAGTTCTGTTAAATCATCTGGTCACTCATCTGGAGCTGGGCTTGCTGCCAGAGTCGCAGTGTGGTTTCCACAGAGATCATGGGACTATTGACATGATTTTTGCCACGCACCAACTTCAGAAGAAGGGTGAAGAGCAGAATCGTGAACTCTATACAACCTTTGTTGACCTCATGAAAGCCTTTGATACTGTCAGCCAACAAGGCCTGTGGAGAATCATGTCAAAGTTCACTGCCCCGCCAAATTCATTCAGATGGTATGCCAGTTCCACTCTGGCATGATGGCCAGAATGCTCGACAGTGGAGTATCCTCTAAGGCATTCCCAGTCACCAATGGTATTAAACAGGGCTGTGTGCCTGCACCTATACCATTCAGCATGATGTTTATTGCCATGCCGAATGATGCCTTTCAGGACAGTGATGCTGGAATCAGCTTCAAGTACAGAGTGGATGGGAAGCTCTTCAACCCAAGGAGGCTTCAAGCTATTACCAAAGTGAAGGAAACTGTTCTGAAAGACTTCCTCTTTACCGATGATGCACCCTGAAAGCTGGTTCAGAGCCAGAGATATAAGTCAGTATGGACTAATTGTCTACGGCTTATGACAACTTTGGACTCACCATCAATATTTAAAAGACTGAAGTAATGCACAAGTCTGTTCCTCATGCACTAAACACAGAACCCAAAACCACAATCAAAAGGCAGACACTACAGGCAGTGAACTAGTTCAAGTACCTTGGCAGCACCCTCTTCTGAGTAGTGATCATTGATACAGAAGTTAACTGCAGAATAGCAAAGGCAGCTTCTGTTTTCAGTAGATTGCACTCCACTGTGTGGGAACATCAAGGAATTAGTCCAGCAACAAAATTGAAGGTCTACAGAGCCATGGTACTCTCTATCCTTCTGTATGCCTATGAAATACGGACAGTGTATCAAAGGCATGCAAGACAATTCAACCATTTCCACATGATTTGTCTTTACAGAACATTAAGCATCAGTTGGCTAGCTACAGTACCAGACACTGAAGATAGAGCAAGTTTACCATCAATCTATGCACTGCTGATGAGAGGACAGACCCAGTGGGTAGCTCACGTCATCCATATGCTGGATGAGCGCATACCCAAGCAGCTCCTTTTC